CCAGCGATATCTGGGCACACACACACACACACACACACACACACACACACACACACACCACAAAATATCTTGTAGACCACATATCTGGCTAACCAACATAAAATACAAAATGCATGGACAAACTTGTAAAGTGTGTTTATTATGAAATGCTTTTATCTAGATTGTATAACCAAGACAAACCAAACAAATCAGTGTTAAAATAGGAAATCTATTTAAAATGTTGTGAATTTTTCAGAGGATATCAGAAGCATTTACTGTGCAAGAATGAGGATAAAAGTTCAGTCTCTGGTACACTGTTACAAACCAGATACAGCATTGTGTATGTGCACAGGGACAGTTCTGGGGAGATACAGAAAAGAGGATCCTTGAGCCTCACTATCAGACAGTTTAGTTGTATTAACTAAATTCACTGAGCAACAATGTCTAAAATCCAATGTTAATAATGATCAAGAAAGACATCAAATGTCATCGAATGTCTATATACACAAGCAGAGGCAACTGTGGTTACATGAACTACTATGTGGAGATACATGAACAGAGCGAAAAAGATGGCTAAACCTTTGTTTAAATATTTCTCCAAAGAAGATGACATATAAATAAAAGAGTATACCAGAAAATGTGAACACATATGTTTGATATAAGTAATTATGGAACTCTGCACCACAATGAAAAGAAAAGCACATTTAAATATCTCTGCAATAGTTCAAGATACACAGGAAACTAGGTAAGTTTATCACTTGAAGCTTAAGTGAAGGAAATTATTAGACACTGGCATGAAAATATTACCCCATCCGAAATAAAACAAAGAAAGAAGCCACATCACCTCACCAAAATTGCAAATGGTAACAAAGACAAAAATCATGTGTTATTTCAGACAGAGGTGTATAGTTTTGCAAAGTTTTCAAGAATGTAGTACCCCGTAGTTTTCTCATTAATCAAAAAAAAACTCCTATAAAGTGCATCTCCATTTGAATTAATTTCATCAAAATTAAAAAAAAAATAATTGTGTCCCTATTTTCCTTTAAGATGACCTAGAGATACTCCTAGTGTTTTTACCCTATCCCCAATTGTCTGGGTAAAGAAAGTAAGCAGAGAACATAAAAGATTAAATAAATTTAAATGTCCACAAATACAAGAAAGATTAAAGTAATATAAGCATATATAAACTATATAGCACTGTTTCAGGATATATGTTTATATTGTAAAGATGTGTTTCTACCTAAGGTGCCTTCATACTGGTTTCATAAAGATCTGTATCATCAATAGTTAAGCAGCAGAGGTAGGCAGGACTTCTGGGCAGGGAGAGGAAACTTGCAATGAATCTGGATGCTCTACAGAAGCCAATCCGATATAGAATGAGTTGAACACACAAAATAAGATAAAGGTAAAAACTATGTGGTAGGATGTAGATTAATAAAAAATATGGGTTAATTTAAGTTATATTAACTAGTTAAGAACAGGACTAATATAAAGGCCAAGCTTTCATAATTAATAAAATTGTTCATATCACTATTTTGGAGCTGGCTGGCAAAATAGATAAAGACTTATTACATTACTCTGTCATGAAAATCATGTAGTCTTGCCATTGTTGGGCTTTCAATGGTGACATGAATAGTCCTTGAGAAAATTATTTATTAAGTGACTAGGTCAAGAATAGAATGCCAATCATAGAATAGTTTATGCATTTGGTGCATCTGACAAAATTGATCACACAGAAATAAAGAACAGATTACTATTACTATAGACATGAAGAAACACAATAGAAGAATATATAGTCTGTTCAGTTACAGTATTATTTTTGAGATCAGTGGCTAGTTAAGATGCTTGAGGGAACATCAATGTGTATGTAATTATCAGAAATATACTGTATATAAAATGAATAAAAGAAAAATGTCTCAATCTTCTATAAAATTCAATAAATACTTAAAGTATTGTTACATAAATTACCCTGATTTGACCATACTCAATGCACTGAAAATCAAAGCTGAATATTTTAAGAAGTGTATGCAGAAACTACTTTAAGGAATAATTCATAAGTGAAAATCATTTTTCCCAGGAGCTATAGTTTCTTTTTTCTGTGATTGTTATTATATTTCTCTTTTCCCTATCATCCATCCAATTTCTCCCATTTATCTTTCCTTTCTCTCTGTGAAAATCACTGACTCATTTGCATTAATTATTATATGAGCATATGTATATATATATATATATATATATATATATATATATATATGCTAAATCCATCTGTATATATATTCAGTGCTCACCTTTTGATACTGAAAAACCATTGGTGTGTTCATTCCTAGAGAAGACTGCTTGTCCCACTCTCAGAATTTCTCAGTTGTGTCTAGTACTTTGTGTAAGGTTGAGACCTTCAGGTCTTTTTCTCCTCTAATTTGGCATTTTCATTGGTATTGTCCTTGTTTAACTCTCACGTAAATAGTCTTGTTTTCTGAGACTTTATGCAAGTAACTTCAGATATTACTAGAAAACACTACCTCACAGTAAACTCTGTGGTCCTCTGACTATGACAATCTTCCCTCCTTTTTCACAATGTTCCCTGAGCATTAAGTGTGGGGTATTTTGTAGGTATATGTGTTTGTCCTGGCTCCACAACTCTTCATTTTGATTGTTTTTTTTGTAGTAGCTTCTTTCTGTTGCACAGGGAAACATCTTTGATCAGGGGTGAATATCACATTTATTTTGTGAATATAAGTACAAATGTTTAGATTTTTACTAAATATTGTACTGTCTTAGTAAAGTACTGATTAAAGATACTTCTCCGATACTTCTCCAATATTTATGACCTCACAAATACCAAGTAGTTACCTAAATTTCTATACCAGGCATGGTTTTCATCTTCTTCAACAATTCTTCCAATAAGGGAGGTGATGGTTACTGCCAAGCTATATATGGTACTACTATATACTTAGGGTTGTTCTGCCATGCTGGTCATTAATGTGGTTCATAGACATCATAATTAAATAATATTGTTTTAGTGGCATTTAATTTGAATTTTAATAAATAAAGCTTGCCAGAAGATCAGAAATGTAAAACAGCCAGACAGCAATGACACACACCTTTAATCCCAGTAGTCATATACTATATTTCCATAGAAATCAGTAGGTAGTGCTAAACACCCATAATCCCAGTACTAGAGAGAATTTTAAAATGGGAGGAGACACCTCTCAGACACAGTTTCATTACAGATTCCTGGAGGCAGAATCATCATTTTGGAATGAGGTTGAGTTAAGTGCCAGTGGCTGGCTGTTTTGTTTTTCCTACCTTCGGTTTGAACTTCAGTTTCTATCTCTGAGCTTTTATTATTTGTGCCTCATACTTTTATTTGTCTCCTTCCTTTGAAAACTTGCATGTTGCCATCATACACGATGAAAACTTGTCTTCTGAGAAAAGACTTGTAGGTCAGTTCTAGATTGAAGACCTCTTGATCTATTTCTGAAATTAATGAGTCCTCACGGCCAATGTTCTACCTTTCTACTTTTGAGATCAACCAAGGGTACTAGCAATAGTCTACATGTTGGAGAATCTCTTGGATAATCATGATCAAAAACTGGAACCAGAGATTCTCACATCTTGTGTTTAGGTTTTTGTTGGTTTGTCTGTATCTCTTAGAGAGAACATTGTCAACCCAGAGAAGAAAAGTTCACTAATGTATATATTGTCAACCATGTTGTAAGAGGCTGTTAGTGTGAACAACCCTTTACTTGTTCATTTCTTGGCCACCCAGACTCCCCAAAATAACCACAAAGAAACTATATTCATTAAATCACTGCTTGGCCGATTAAGTGTATTGCTAGCTAGCTCTTACATAGAGAATGAGTCCATTTCCATTATTCTATATTTTACTACAAGGTTCATGGTCTACCGGCAAGGTTTCAGCATCTCTGTCTCTGGCAGTGTCTCCTTAGCTTCTCCCTGACTCCACCTTCTTTTCCCCAGCATTCAGCCTACCTTTTCTCACCTAAGTTATATCTTGCTATAGGCCAAGACAATTTCATTATTTATTAACTAATAAAAGCAACACATAGACAGAAGGACCTCCCACACCATTTCCTTTTCTGACCACTAATATACTTATGAGCATTAAAAGCTCTTTGTCATGTATTTAGATATAAGTGACTGAATCTGTTAGAAAACCCATCCACAGTGAATGAGGTTTCCCTGTGTACATCACATACTTCAGTATTTGTTTTCAGTTTTGTTGATATTTGATCTTTACCATTCTCATTGGATAAGATGAAATCTCAATGTTGCTTTGATTTATTATTTTCCTAACTGCTAGAGATGATAAAATATTTTTGACAGACTACTTAGCCAATATTTTTTCTTCTGATGAATTATTCTTCAGGTCTGAGGACCATTTTAAGTAGGTAATTTGTTTTCTATGATTTTGATTACTTTAAATATCCTGGATATTAATACTTTCTCAAATATATAGCTGGCAAAAGATTCTCTTATATACTTTGGGTTTTTTCTTTTCCCAATTTGTTGTTTCTTTATCTGTTCAGATTTTAAAATTTGAGAAATCCCACTTGTCAGTCTTAATTTTTGATACAATGAAATCTTATTAAGAAAACTCTTTCCCAAATCTATATAATGTAGGGTATTGGCTATGCTTTCTTTTTGGCATCATTATAGTTTACTATTATGCTACTTCCATTCTTTTTATTTTTCATGAATTTGTGTGTCATCCTTGCACAGAGGCCAATCTAATCTTCTCTATATCATTCCAGTTTTAGTATATGGGCTGCCAAAGTGAGCACAATTTTTAATAATATCTTTATTCATTTATTTTACATCCTAGCTGACAATATCTTCCCCCTTCTCTCCTTCAAATCATTCTCCCCCATCTCTCCTCTGTTCTCTCCTCCCAATACACTCCTCCTACTTTTCTGTTTAAGAAAGTGTACAGAAATCCCATGAGTATTATCAAAACATGGCATATCTAGTTGCAGTAAGACTTAGTACTACTCATTGTATTATGGATGGGCAAGGCAACTTATTATGAGGAGTAGGGTCCCAAAATTTGTAAAAGAGTTAGAGATAGTCCTTGTTCCAAGGATTGTTAGGAGTCTCACAAGAGGACCAATTGTCACAACTGTGACATATAGGTAGAGTGCCTAAATCAGTCCCATGAAGGCTTTCTCATTGATGTTTAGTCTCTGTAAGCCCTATGAGCTCATGTTTGTTGACTCTGCATTTCTTTTGATATTCTTGATACCTTTGGATCAATCTATCTTACAATCTATTCTCTCCCTTTTCCGCTGGATTCCCAGACTTCTTCCTAATGTTTGGCTGTGGGTATAAATCTGTTTCCATCAGTTGCTGGATGATGCCTCTCTGATGATAATTAGGCTAGTCACCAATCTGGTCACAGAAGCTGGCTAGTTCAGACTGTGTGTCCACTATTGTTAGGAGTCTTAGCTGGGGTTAGCTATGTATTCTTCTAGCAAGCTCAGTTTTTCAGTTTTCATGTTTAGGTCTTTGATCTATTTGAATTGGTTTTTATGTAAGGTAGTATATTTGAGTACAATTTCTTCTCCATGCGAATATTTACTTTATACAAAAGATGCTTTTTTTCTTCAGCTTCTGCTATTAGACACTTGATATTTTACAAATATCAAGTGGTCAAAGGGATGTATAACTTTTTTGTACATATCTGATTTTGGTCAGTACTATATTATTTATATCTATGGTATCTTCAAATATGGTATGAAATTCCCTCAAGCATTTTTATTTTTGTGTAAGTTTATTTTGACTATGAAATAACAAGAAAATATATTCTTATCAAACCTTACCATTCCTTTATAAATGTTTGCAAATAAGAATTTCCTAGGTGAAACCCAAGGAATTAAAAAAGACAATAAAATCTCATCAAAATATTAAAAATAATTTCAATAAGACAGAAAGCAACAGCTTAAAGAAACTAAAAAAAGAAATGCAAAGCGAATGTATGCCTGAATGATGCTTAAAGTAAAACAAACACAAGGTTTATGACCACAATTACTCAATAAAAGTACACAGGCATACTGAATGAATGTGGAAACAGGACTCCTCCTTCTGCAGCATATGAGAAACACACATCATCAAAGATAGATTTTACCTCAGAGTAAAGAATTGAACACGAATTTCAAAGCAAATGGACCTAAGAAACAAGCTTGTTTAGGCACTATAATATCTAAAAATATCAATATCCAGTCAAAACTAAAAGAGATTAGGAATAATGTTAGCCCACGAGACTATACAGTAAATGTACAGCTGGCAGATTCATAAAGGCAGACCCACAAGTGTACAGCTTATGGAGCAACCTGTTTTTCAGTACTGCAGTATCACTTGCCTTTTGGAAAAATTGCTGTCATATCTGTGAAAAGTTTGTGAAGCCATGATAGACATCCAATTCTTAGCCCTGAGGGGGTTCTGAGGCTGGTACTCAAAGCTCCCAATAGAATAACATTTCCTACTCACCAAGGGAAAAATCCACTAAATAATGTTTCAGTCATGAACATCCATTTCCCAAAGTCAATTGTACTCATATTTGTAAGACACACATTATTAAAGCTTAAAAGATGTATTGACCCTCAAACATTAATAGTGGGAGACTTCAATACCCCTCACTCTCACCAGTAGACAGGTCATCCAGACAGAAACTAAATAGGAAAATAATAGAACTAAGAGACACTATGACTCAAGTGGATATAACAGATACCTTCAGAAAATTTCAACCAAGGACAAAATAATATAACTCCTTCAAAGCACCTCATGGAATTTTCTCAAAAATTGACAACATATTCTGTTACAAAGCAATTTCAACAGATATTGAAAGAATGAATTAACTTCCTTCATTCTATCAGACAATCATGGAATAAAGGTGAATTTTATCATCATCATCAACAACAACAACCATAGAATGCCTACAAAGTTATGGAAACTGATCAGTTCTCTTCTGAATGACTACTGGGTCAAAGCAGAAATGAAGAAATTAACACTTCCTAAAATTCAATAAAAATGAATGTGCAACATACCCAAATTGATGGGACAAAATGAAAGTGGAACTATTTATAATTTCACACAGCTAAGTGCCTGTAGAAAGAAAATGGAGAGAGCACTTGCATCCTAGCAGCACATCTGAAAGATCTAGACTAAAGGAATTAAGCATACCCAAGAGTATATAGAGTAGATAGCGGTAAGTTATTAAAATAATGATTGAAATAAATAAAATACAAAGAGAACAATAGAAAGAATCAATGAAACTAAGTGTTGGTTCAAAAAGAATCAATGAAATTAAGAGTTGGTTCTTTGAGAAAATAAATAAGATAAATAAGTCATATCCAAACTAAAATACACAGAGAGAATTCCAAATTAACAAAGTCAGAAACAAAATGGTGGCAAAACAACAGAGACTGAGGAAATCCAAAGAATATTTAGGTCATACTTTAAAAGCCTATACTCCACCAAATTTGAAAATCTAAAAGAAATGCACAATTATCTCAACAAATATCACTTACCAAAGATAAATCAAGATTAGATAATGGATTCAAATAGACCTATTACCCCTAAGGAAATAGAAGGAATCATTAAAAGTCTCCATACCAAACAAAATGCCAAGGGCATGAATGTTTGAACACATATTTCGACCAGGGTTTCAAGGAAGATCTAATGTCAATATTCCTCAAATTTTTCTACAAAATAGAAATAGAAAGAATATTGCCAAATCAATTTTATGAGGCCAAAATCACCCTGATAGCCAAACCAAACCAAAGAAAGATAAAAAATTATAGGCCAATTTCTGTAATGAGCATTGCTGCAAAAAAAAATATCAATAAAATACTCACAAACTTCCAAGAACACATAAAAATGCTCATCTACCATGATCAAATAGGCTTCATTCCAGATTCAGAGATAGCTCAATATAAAATAATTTGTCAATGTAATCAACTGTATAAAAAATACCTGGAAAGAAAAATAAAGCAAAACAACTAAAAATTCTGATCATCATATTAGAACCTGAAAAAAAAAATCCAGTGACAAAATCTAACAGACCTTCCTGGTAAATATCTTGGAGAGAGCAAGGCCACAAGGGACAAACTTAAAACCAATAAAGGTAATTTACAGCAAGCCAAGAGTCAACGTCAAATTAAATACAAAGATACTAAAAGCAACTCCACTAAAATCAAGAGCATGACAATGCTGTTCACTTTCTCTATATAAATTCAATTATTACTTGAAATTCTAGCTATAGCAATAAGATAAATGAAGAAAATCGGGGGATACAAATAGGAAAGGAAGAAGTCAATTTATCTTTATTTGTAGGTGATATGATAGTATACATGAATGAGAACAAAAATTCTACCATGGATCTCTTACATTTGAAAATCACCTTAAGTGAAGCGGCTGGAAACAAGACTGACTAAAAATAATTATTAACCCTCCTATATACAAAGAACAAACAGACCATGAAAGAATTCAGGGAAAGAACTCCCTTTATAATAGCCACAAATAAATAATATAAAATTAGGCATTTTATGTAAATTTTGATGTATCTCTAATCAAGCAAATGAAAGACTTGTATGATAAAACTTTAAGATTTTGAAGAAAGAAATTGAAGAAGATATTAGGAGATAGAAACATCTTCCATGCATATGGAACAATAGAATTAACAGTAAAAATGGTCATCTTACCAAAAACAATCTACAGATTCAATGGCTTCCACACACATCAAAATTTCAACGTAATTCTTTGCAGATCTTGAAAGAACAATACTCACCTTCATATGGAAAAACTAGGATATCTAAAACAATTGTATATAATGAAAGAATAACTGATAAATTGATGAGCCCCAATTTCAAGTTATACTATACTCCTATAGTAATGAAAATCTCATGGTATTGGCATAAAAGCCTACAAGTTAATCAACACAATACAATCAAAAACCATGATATAATCCCAGACACCTGATTATTCATAAAGAAATTAGAAGCAGATGATTGAAAAAAGAAAGCATCTTCAACACATTTTTCTGGTCTAATTGGATGCCTGCATGAAGAATGACAATAGATCCATACTTACCACGCTGTGCAATACTCAATTCCAAGTGGATCAAATAAAACTTTAAGAATTAAAACAGGAAATACAGAGGCAAATTTCACCATCAGAGTAAAATAGATGGAAGGAAGAATCTCAGTGTCTTAATTAGGGTTTCTATTGCTATTTCAAAACACAATGACCAAAAGGCAAGATGGAAAAGCAAGGGTTTATTTGGCTTATACTTCCACATTGCTGTTCATCACTGAATGAGATAAGGATAGGAATTTAAACAGGACAGGATCTTGGAGACAGGGGCAAATGCAGAGGTAATGGAGGGGTGCTGCTTACTGACTTGCTTTCCATGGCTTTCTCAGTCTACATTCTTCTAGAATCCACTACCACAAGTACAGCATGACACCAACAAACCTGAATTTTGCCCTCACACATTGATTACTATTTGAGAAGATGTCTTACAGCAGAATCTCATGGAGGAATTTCCTCAACTGAGGCTTCATCATACTCTCTGAAAACTCTAGCTTGCTTCAAATTAAAACATGAAACTAGCCAGTACACTCAAGTACAGAAGATATGATTGAAAAAAAATGACTCGTCAGTCCAAAAATCTTAAATCTAAAAATTTATGGATTAAAATCTCTTCTGAGACTCAAGACAAACTCTTAATTGTAGTCCCCATAAAATAAACAGGTAAATGTTCTGTTTATAACATGTTTGACAAAAA